TATCTTCTAAAGAAATGTCATACGGGTGACCAACATATCACGAAATGCAAATAGAGTATACAGACAACAGCATTACTAGTAAATGGTCTAATGTCTGCTATATCCTTACCACTGACAATTCCAGAATAACAAGTGAACCCAAAGGTAGTAATGTTTATGTACTTTTTATCATCCTACAGGACTCTCAAGACCATTATGCACACCAAAAGCTCAGGGACTCCACTTTCTGATGAACTACGCAAGGACAGCCACTTTCATATGAAAAGATCAGCACCCAACTCTACAGACAAGAGGAATTAAGCTTTTTATACAAAATATGCTCAAATGAAGGATTGCCCTTTTCTCAATCGCCTTTCCAATGTCATAATACACTGTGCCTGACAAATACAAAAACAGCTCAAAGCCGTAGCATTGGAGGCTGACAACTACTGTGCATTGGATTCAACAATGTAAATTCCAAAACCAGGTATGCTATCAAACTGCCCTGAGTAGGTTTGACCATTCTAACCTTCTAAATGGCTGTAGACCAAAGTTGCAAGTGCCAGTCTCAGTAATTCAAAGTGAAAGCAATTTTCAGTGATTTGACCAAAGGGTGCATAGCTTATACATGAGATGGTTTTGCTTTGTTTTTAATAAAGAGAATGCAAAAAAAAAAAAGAAGTATCATATCATGGACAGCAAGACATAATTAAACTCTTATACGAAGAGATGTGTGCCTGTATGTGATTAGATATAACTTGCAATTATTAGAAATGCTATGTTTAATTGAACTGGATCAGTGAATTACTATTGCAGTTTTTAAATTAGTATCTAAGTTGAATTTGCCCTTTAAATTTTAAATAAATGTTCTTTCGAGATTCCTATTATTTCATTCTTACAGGTACAATTAATATGACTAAACAAAGTAAAACTTCAAATATCCAGTCTGTGTTGTACTTAAAAATCTCCAATTCCCCTAAAATAAATTACAGTCCTATGACTATTAACATGCCTGTAAAACTATATACTATTATTCTACATATTCATATAGAAAGAAATTTAAAATTAATTAAATGTGTTTCAGAATTAAAGCATCCATCGGTCCCTTTTTTTCAAACTTGTCTGAACACAATCTTCACATTATAAAGTGAAAAATAATTTGGAAATACAAAGCTTGCCACTGCAAAAAAGACAAGTATTGCAAGGAAACTCTGGAGAGTGTAGCACCCAAAACCAACTTCAAGTACAGTACTTGAAATCTCTGTGACAATGGCTAGATTTGAAGCTGACAGCAAGACCTGTAACACTGAACTGACTATGTAACAAATACTGACTGTTAATTATACATCTGCAATTAAATCATTATCATCGGAGTGCTGAAACTATGAGGATACGCATTTGCCTCTAGTCCATTTCAATTTCTTTTTATAGAGCATATAAAGAATTTGAAACATTTCAGTAATTTTCTTCTGTCAAGAACCTGTTCTTGACTCTGATTTTGTGCTTTTCAGAAAAAACTCAGGGCCTGAACTGCGACCTGGAGGAAAAGGATTCTGCAATCGTTAGCCTTCATGATGCCAGCTTAGCAAATGATAAACTGTACGGTATAAAACATTGCCAATTACCTCAACTGTATACTAAGTCAGTTGTATATTACCCTAATTTTCATTTGCCAAGCAGTTTTAACCAAAAGCAAAATGTCAACCATTACAGGAAAACAACACTGAGCATGTTTTATTTAGGAGTATAGTTATTTCTCAGCTTTAAATATACCTTTTCCAAGACTTTAAATGTTAGGGTTAATTTGTATGTACTATGAGGTACAGCACTGACAATGCCACGTATCATCACTAGACGCTGAACAGCTTTCCGCAATAGCCAGCATTATTTCCAGTAGTCAGTGTTCAAATAAATGTGAAATATTTCCTCCTAATCAAATTAATGACAAGTCTACATTAATCACTTCAATCCTGACTGCTATATAGGATAGCTATAAAACAAGACGCTACTCAGCTCACACACAAGTCTGGAGTAAGCTATAATACCTAGATGGACAGCTGCCTTCATTTTAGCTTCATTACAGAACACAAACACAACTCCTTCTTTAAAAAAAAACCCAAACAAACAAATCAAGTCCAGAAGTACCCAACCTACAGACTTAAGTGTTTAAATGTATTGGAATGTTTTTTCTTAAGCATCACCTTGTTTTCACCAGTGAGTTACATAAACTGCTATAAAATTATTAACCAAATGCAAACTGCATAAGAGAAAGTATGGTAAAAGTTTTGATATGATTTAGACTACCCCATCTGCTAGGAAATTTAATGTATATCTATTTTAAGACAAAAAACTCCAGAACAGCAGTCAGACATGATTTCTGGAGCATAACACGACCTTAAAACATAACATAAACAAAGTAAAGGATTTTTACAAGTGAAGTGCAAATATTTTCTAAGTTAATCAAAACTATTTGGGTACAGCAATCTACTGACTCATACATTTCAGCTACTTTAAATATTTAGTAATCATTTCAGTTCTAAAATGCAAAATATGTATAGGTAAGTTTGACCAGAGACAATGATGGAAAGTTAAATTAAAGTCATGTTCTGCACTGGGTACAGAAGCGTTAGAGTGGCTAGCAATGACACTCGGGATTCCCTAAACATAGCAAGTCTTGTACCATTTACTTCCAGGATCAGGGGTTTAGTCATGATATCTTTAAAAACTTCCAATCAGTGTAGCCCAGCATCCAAATACAGAGATACAGCTTAAACTGTAGATGTTGTCTATTAATACTATAATAGTATTATAAAAGAGATAAGTTGGTTAAAATGTCCGTCTGATATTCTGCATTTTCTTTTCCAACAACCCAAAGGGTACGATTTTTCAAGCATTTAGAAAATGTAAAGCATATTGTAAAGCTCTCCTCTTCAGTACAGTTGTCACCTTAAGTTTCAGACTTAATTATTTTTACAGTACTTATACCTGAACACTCAGCAAGCCAGTCATAAGTTGTTTTTCAATATGAAAGTGAAGACTTCTGCTCATACTAGTAGATACATGAGGAAAACAGTCTAAATACCCTATGTTCTTCTGTTCTTCTGACCAAATTCTTCCTTTTCCCACATACGTCAATCAAATAATAAAACTGGAAAAATAAAGTTTATTTTTCTTCTAGCGGCCACAATGTGTTTTCTTCTACTTAAGAATTCAAATTGCATGAAGTACAACACCTAGAACTGCACATCAGTTAGGGCTGCATAACTGCTCTTAAGTTATTGGAGAGTACCTGCTTATTTTAAAACCTATCTTACTGTAGCTTGTAGAAACAACGTGTTCCACCACAGCTCAAATGGAACCATATTACTTAAAATCATACTACATCCTCGCAGGGGTGGGTGAGAGAGCAACCAGTATGTGAACGGTTTGTAGAAGTATATATTGTAATCAGAGATGATACTTTCTAAGGTCAATATAAGTAAAAATCTACTTTGTGACACGGATGACTCTGTAAGAAGAAAAATACGTATTCATTTTCCTTGCTTTTACATTAACTTCAAAATATAAACACTACAAACTGACAATGAAAGGAACAAAGAGTTGCCACAAGAACCATCTTGCAATAAAATAAACATTAACTTTCGGCACAAAAGAGAAGCCAGGTGCCATATCAATACCTCAGCCTGTAAGCATGTGTTCTTGAGTGCCCGCTCTCTGCACAGTACTTCGGTGCAGGATTTGAGCTCTGTGCAGCACGTAGGGAATGTCTGCTTCCATCTCAACCACTGCGAATATACTACGCTCAAACACGGAGACAAGCCTTCAAGGCCTTTGTATTCCCATCCCCAGATTTAAAACACAGCTCCACGAGGTGTTAAAAATGCGCGCTGGCGGGGTGCGGGCACACATGTAAGCAGCGAGGAGGAAGAGGGTGGCAGGAGAGGAGAGGGAAGGCGGGGAAGGGCACGGTCCTCCTGCCTGGCGGTCCTGGAGCCCCCCACGCCGCCCCGCGCAGCCTCCTCTGGCCGCTGCGTGAAGTTGGCCGGGCATCACCCGCCCCACTGCAGGCCAGGCGCAGAAAAGAGGCCTCCTCCTCCTCCTCCTCCTCCTCCTGCGCCCTCCTCTCTCCCCAGTCCGCCGCCAGATCCATTCTTCCCCTCCAGCCGCCCCCAGCCTCACGGCGGAAGGAGTTGGGTGGAAGGGGGGGCGTCTCCATTACCCTCTCCACCCGCCCGCTTCCCAGGGACGGCGACAAGGGCCCTTTCCCGCCCGACGCAGGGGGGAGCCCCGGGCCGGCCTGCGGGAGCGCTCCCGCATCCCCGGGCCCCCCCGGCTCTCGCACCCTCCCCGCGGGAAGGAGGGGGCAGGGAAGGCGCCGGCCCTGGGGCCCCGCCCGCTCCCCGGCCCCGAGGAGGGAGAGCCGTGGAGAAAGGGCTACACACCTCGCTGTTAAAGGCTTTCACGGCCTCCATGTCGCGGCGGAGGCGGGGGCCGGGCGGCTTCTCTCCGCGGATGGCGGCCGGGCCGGGCGGGGGCAAGTCTCGGTCGGTGCGTGCGTGCGCTCCTCGCTCAGGGGCCGCCGGGCCTCCTCTCCATGGCGGCTGGCGCAGGGGGCGGGCGCGAGGAGACGGGGGGCCCCGCTCGTTTCCGTCTCCTCCTCGCCCCGCTTCCCGCCCGGCGGCGCCGGCGCTCCCCTCCCTCCCCTCCCTCCCTCCCTCCCGTCCTCCCTCCCTGGCGCGCTGTGCTCCGGGCGGCCACGCCGGCAGGAGATGGGCGAACAACGCGCAGCGGCTGCGGCGCGGGCGCCAATATGGCGGACACGCGGGGGCTCCTCGCAGCGCAGCACCCGGAGCGGCGCAGAGCGGCCACAGCGCCCCCTGCCGGGCGGCACCCGCACACCGCCCGCGCCACGGGCGCTGCCGGGATGGCGGCGCGTCCGCCCCGCCCGATCCCCTCCTCCTGCTCCTGCGCTTCCGCGCTCCTCCGAGAGCGGGCGAGAAGGGAAGGGTTACGGGAGCGCCGTGTTAAACGCCTCTCTGTGTCGTCACCGGAGGCAAGTCCAGGAGTTCTCGGGACGCCGTTTTCGCGTTTCCGGATCCCCGGACGGTTCGCGTTACCCTCCTCCCATCAAGGCCCGCCGGGGAAACCGGGAACGGCACGCAGGCTTGAAGAAAAGCAATGGGAGAGAGAATCAGCGAGACGTAGGAGGGCAAATAACCCCCGACAATTAAATAAGCCCATCAGTAATCAATATTATTTATCGAGAGGAAAGAAGAAAACCCACAAAAATCGTAATGCAAATCGATCACGAGACCCAGTGCACTTAATACATGAATATTATGACTTAACAATCCAACACCAAAAGGTTTCCAAGTTCATCCCTAGGCATTAAGGCATTTCTGTTTGACAACCCAGGGTGTGTTCCCAGGTTAAGTTGTGGACAGGGTGCAGTTCCATGAACAGCAGTGCCCATACCTGCACCACCATGCCAGTCCAGCAGAGCGCCTGCCTCCCCCTGAAGAACAAACACCTTGCTCAGCTCAGAAATCCCAGCAGCAACAGCTCTATCAAACAGGAAGACTTGCATCCAGGGCATAGGTGTCTGTTCCCTCAAACACAAAGCTGCCGCATGACTCACCTTCATAAGGGAGAGCCTGAAGGAGCTCAGAACCACTGAGGATGAAACCTTAGGTTTGTCTTTAGCTGCTGTTTCCCTTTGCTTGGTTATGTTCTTTCAACTCTACTGACACAGCAGACATGACAGCATGAATTAGGCTCCCGTTTGAATTGTGTTTCATTATTTTCCAGCGACAACCCTAAGCCAGGCTCTGGATAGACTGTGCCTTCCTGCTCTCACAGGTACCCCTCAGACCAGAGCCATAAGGGCTCTTCATGGACAGTGAAGATCCCACTTCAGGCCTGAGCCACAGCCTTACAAACTGAAGTGAGTTTTACTCAAAAACAAGGTAAGTTATAAATTAAGATAAGCCCAGCATCTGAGGCAGACCTGGAATCCTACAGCTCCATTCTTATACAAACACAAGAGAAATTATTGTCTTTTTACGAACAGAATCGGAAGTTCCTCCACCCTTACCCCCCAACCAGCTTACTTAGGGAAAAAGCCTATCTCTTAACAACCACTGCTGTTGCAGTCTCAAGCCACCAAGAGGGCCAGGAGGCAAGAGCAAATGCCCTGTTATGAGAGAATGAGAGGACAGGGTCTATTCAGATTGAAAAGAAAGATGGCCATGAGGTAGGGAGGGCACCCACTAGCAGCCAATACCTGCAAAACAAAAAAACTGAATAAAGCTCATTAACATTTTTGATCATTTGTAAGCAGTTGACTAAGGCTTTTTGCAGACCTCCTACATAGCAGGAGGTCAAGAGGCACTGCTCTTCACTTAAAGCAGGAGAGGTTCTGACCTCTCAACTGAAGGAAAGCCTTTTCCATTGTAAAGATGGCCAAGCAGTGAAGTAGGTTTTCCAGAAAAGCTGTGCAGTCTCTATCTCTTTCCAAGGTCCCATGGGATAAAGACCTTAGCAAGCTACTCAGAGCTCACAACTGACCTTGCTTTGAGCCAGAGGTTGGACCAGAGAGCTCCCCAGGTCCCTTCCAATCTGAGTAGCACTGATACTGTATGAACTGCATAGCTCAGTGCAACCGTCTGGCAAACTCTTTTCACAGATGATTTAAGAAAAGCACACTATGCTTACCAGAAGGGACAAAGCCTCTGTTCCTCTTGTTCCTCTTTTGTTCTTTTTTTTTTCTTCCTGTGGGAATTAAGAGTAAATAAAATATGAAGAGATGATTCTGCTCAAATTATTGTGAAGGCTTTACATGATACTAATTGTATTACAAGAATAACTGCTAAAACTATTTACTTTGTACTCCTTTGGAAAACTTACTGAAATACTGAAGTTACAAACAATCCTCCAGCATCTGGTAGCTTTCCTTTTAGATGAAATTGAAGCAAGCCTAATTTTCCTTATTAAAATGGATAGAATACCATGCTGTAAAAACTTTCCAGAAAAAGTTTTGAAATTGGCTTCAAAGTGATCACAAAACTACCACACAATTGCTTTTCCAGAATTTTTTTTCCAGAAGCATAAAAGTTATTCCAATAAAGGAGAAACCAGAGAAGGAGGGGTAGGATTTACACTTAGAGGTACATGCACAAAGCCTTGGCCTCAAAAGCAGAGTCTGAATTTGAAACTAAGTGATTTCCCTCCCCCCATATTCAACCTACTTGCTGTAGGTCTGTAACAGACATTTAAACAAATATTTTTACCACTTAAAGAGTTTAGATAGCAAAGCCTTTTAACACCCCTATTTAATTCCAGCAGTAGAAAGGAGAATGGGAGTACAGTACTTCTCTAATCTCATAAGGAGCCAGCTGTCATCCAAGAATGAGAAATAGGTAACAGAATGGATACTGTAATACATCTCCAATTGTACTTACATGTTCTAAGTTAAGCAAGCATACAAATGAAGTCATATGAAAACAGTATTAGTGCAGAAACACTGGCTTATTCTGGGGCAAGGCCACCTTGCCCCACAAGGCTTCTAGTTTAGTGACTTGCACTATCACTGCTAACATACCAAAACCGGGAGATTTCTCATTGTGCTGCACAGCAGAGTAAGTGTCAACTTGCTGTGCAGCACAAGCTTTCTGCAGTTCCAGTACTTGGCACTACTGCTGAAACTCTAACCAGAAGCTTTAGTTTTGCAAAGGAAGATCCCATTTGCTTTCCAACACATCAGTGTGGAATTTGCATGATGGGGCACACTTCCTGTGTGTATGCAAACACCTAGCTTTGCAATCAGAGAGAAAACCAGGACTGAATAGGTCTTTAATCTGCTCTTTAGAGCATTTTTTTCCCTCATAAGAGAAGGTAAAATAGGTATGCCTGCCTTTTTCGTACTTCTTACAAGGACAAGTCCAAATATAGACTCAGTAGATCAAACAAGAGATCAAACTGGCAAAGGCTCTTAAGAAATCCATCATCCAAGTGAGCAATACTCTTCTGTTTCCTCTTAGCAGAGGAAATTACATGCAAGTGTTAGATTCAAAACCATATGCAACTGTCAGGAGGGAGAACTGGTGTTCCAGTAGGCAGAGAACACAGGAAAGTAGATCTGTTATTCGTCCCTTGTAGCTTCAGGTAAGAGGATGTCGCTCAGTTTTCTTCACAGTAACTCTCTCCACAATTTTTTTGAATGCACAGCTACAAGTCATCCTCCATGCACACTGCCTATCTCTACTTAATTTTTCAGTGCATTTTCAAAAAGTTGCTTACTTTTTTTACTGAGCTTTAGCACATTTCTCCCCTCTGTCCTTCTTCACTAACGCTACCTCATCTTCCTCTTTCATTTGCATTTTCAGTCCTCCTTCACTATAACCATTGTAAAAGCTTAAACTGTAACTAAAAGTAGAGAAATAAATTTTCTGTTGAACTTCTGAGTTTCTTACAGACATAGGTTCACATAAAGAGCTCTTTCTCAAGTACTTAAAAATTTCAGAGGTTGTAAGAGAATTTTTGAACCATTTGTAACCACACATTACTCATGACAGCCTGATAATTTGGAACCCCAGTTAGTTTACTACACAGTTCCTGCTTGTCAAGCTTGACTGACCATGAATACCTTGCACTTGTCGTGGCATAATAGTGTCAGACTCAGCACACCACCACGGAAACCACCTCAAGACTACTTTATTGAAAAAAGCATGTTCAAAAGCAATTGAAGGTTTAATTTACAGGCCAGCTACGGCTCTCAGAGGCACACACTATAAATCTGTGTTGATTTCAAAGTAAACTGCTTTAATCAGGAAAGGAGAGCAAAGTCTTGGAAATTACCTTTAAGTAACATTTGTCAGATTTGCCTGTAGAAGGTTTGGATAACCTGATGCAAAAATGTGCTGGAGTCACACCTACTGTGGCATTTACAACATTGCTAAGATACGCTTAGCCAGAAAGCATTTATTAATGCTTTCTTATTCTGTGTGGGGTTCTAGTCCTGAAGATTGTGCCATCCTGTTTCTGATTGTAGTGTACAATTACAAAGTAGAGTGATCATTGTTTCCTACAGCTGCATAGTCATGTTTAGTTCTGCTCCTAACAAGACAATTCTTTTAAAATAAAGGTCAGACAATGCATTTGCAGTAACAATTATACCATGCTTGCATCATTTTAAATGTAACAGCAGAACTACAAGGATAGAACAATCTATGATTTCAGCTTGCAAATAATGTAAAAGACTTAAAAAATGTTTTATAGTCAATCCCAACTACAAACATATCCATTTTTTCTTTGAGGGAAGCTCAAACTAAAACAGTCATAAATAATTTTTCAGTAGATATATCTATACATACATATATGTACTGAAATCATCTTGAAGAATTCAATTCCAGCACTAAAAAATAAAACTTTCTAAAATATACTTAAGTATTTCAAGGAAAATTCAAGGATGATTCATTAATAAATGTCAGACATTATAAACAGCAGAAGACTGCTTATTTGGGGTAGTGCTGTTTGTAGAGAAACAAAGTCAAAAGGATTGCAGTAAGAACAATTGAGATGACGAACTGAGAACATTATCTTAATAAAAAAAAAAAAGGAAAAACAAGGAAAAGATATTTGCCTGATGCTTTTTACATGCAGGCTGACAGCATTGAGGGCAGACCTTAATCAGCAGTTTGGATCATTCCTTCACAGTATGTTACTTTCTGTCTCCTGCCTATACATACCAAATTTCCAACTTCCAACAATAAGGCTGCAAAAGCAAAGTTATTTCTCCCACTCTGCTAACTCATTACAGACCATAATAAAAGTGAGCACAATACACTGAGAGTCATTTCCATAGCTTCTCTTTACTATCTCAAGCAAATAATATAGAAAAATGAGTAGTTTTGGTTCAAGCTTTTTTATTTGCTTCAGTCTTAACAAATTGGATTTAGACCATCACATTCATCATCTTAAAAATCTGCATAGACATGAAATCAAAATTTTAGCCAATGCTTAAGATCACTTTTTCTATCAGAAGAATGTGCAATACCACAATAAAGACAATAAAATAAGTAGGCAGATCTCCTAAGCATAGACCTTTGCCACAGGTGTATATGGAACTGGAAAAACGTTTCTGCAGTGGTTGGTCCAGACTCACCCCACTCATCTGTACTATGATAGCTACCAAAGTCTCAGTCTGCAGAGGACCAGAAATGCAGGAGTAGCCAAGTATTTCACATTATTTCACATTGATTAAATCTAACTGTCTTCAATGCCCAATCGACTATTGATAAAAAATCTTTTGAGGAAGAAATTCCACAGAGATGAAATAGGCCTTCTTATCACCCTGACAGTTTTCTCATCACATTCAGCTGTTCAGCCTGATTTTCCAGTTTCAGAACTTCTTTTCTGTCAAGTTATGACCTCATTACAGTCATATAATTTGCATTTTTTTTGTCTAAAGAGATGGAATTCTTGTATCATCCACTGCCTTTCAGTAAACAGTAATTCCAGTTAGCAAAGTAAATTATTTCCTTATGCTTTCTTCTTCTGGTAGGTCTTGGACAGCCAAGCTCACCTCATTAGCAATTCACACAGCAATAGCAGAAACACCAGAAGTCCATGGTGGCACAGACTACACAGAAAATCATTTTTCTTTCCAAAAACATACTTGTGCTTTACAAAAAACAGCTCAGTCAATGAAAGCTTTGCACTAGAAAAGTTAAATGGAAACAAGCAGAACAGAGATTGCATGTGCACACCAAGGTGTTAGCCCACATAAAAGTCCAAGGAATTTTAAATAGCCACCACCTTACCTGTAGTGATAAGGAAAATCCCAGGAGGAAAAAGAAAAAAAAATCACTAGCTACTTGTGGCAGAGCACCAGAATTATGAATCCTGGAAAGAACAACTTCAGGAGCAGTTCCGTCACAGCGGCAGCCCCCTCGGAATCGAGCGGAATGGAGAAGCAGCAATAATTCATGTTTTTTATTGTACGGGTTTTCTTTGGTCTCTGTAATTGCATGGTGCCCCCCCACTCAGCACCATATGGTCCCCCCTCTGTGAATGCAGACTCCGCCTCTGCACAAGCAGGATAGGCAGTCTTATCCACTCCTCCCCAGTCCCTGGTTTTGTTACTGGACTGTGGTCCTTCTGTACCCCCCATTGGTTAGCAGAGCCCTCAAGCCACTCTCTTTCCCCCAGACCTGGGCCCAATCACGTTCTTCCTTCTAGCCCTCCCCCCAAGATGATATAAGCCGCGGGACTTTCGAATAAAGGACTTTTCTCCTTGGAACTCAGAGAAGGAACTAGGTTGCTCTCTCCTCCTGCTAAGGAGGACCGGGTGGCTGAGATTCCTCTGAGAAACCGCAAGTGAGGAGTCGGAGCAATCAATTTCTGTTAATTGGCGCCCAACAGGAGAACCATGCGAAATTTTCTACTGTGTAGAAAATTTTCTACTGTGTAGAAAATTTTTGGGCATCTCCAGGCTCAGGCGACGTAGCGCCCTTGGCTTCCCGCTCAAATGGATTTCTGCAACTCAGCATTGGATTTCGACCTAGGCCAGCAGTTGTATAGTTCTGGAACTCTATTTTATAATATTCATAGGGGCTCTATCTTCAAAGCAGGAGCGCAACACCTACAAACGCTTAAAAAGGCTCATTTATTTGCATGGACACCCGTTAGACAAGGACTCTTTAAAAGCACTGATTAAATGGATTTTAAAGAACAACTACGTGCTGCTCAGCACTATATCATACCATGAATGGGACACATTGGGACGTAAATTATGGAGTGCTATACAAATGAATGACTCTTTTGCATCCCGGGCAGCAATCGCCTGGCGGTTAATATTAAGCACGCTACAGAAAAATGAGATTGTAAAATCAGTGGTTTGGGAGGAGGGAGCGGTGCGGGATCCCAATCAGGGCGCGACTGTGGTGTCGGGAACGGATTCGGGACAGGAAAATGTTTCCTCTTTATCGCCATCCTGCACACATCACGGAGTGCTTGGCTCGCCCTCCTGGACCCAAAATGGTGGTGACCTTTTGTGTTCCCATTCCGATATGTTTACTGAAAACACATACTATAATGACAGTGTTTGCTATTTACACTATTAACTGTGTTTTGAAATAGTATATGTTCCTGGCATGGCAGTTAGCTTTTTCTATGAACATGTAGATTTCTTTCCAGATGCCCTAGTAAAAAATATTTAATTCAATTAAAGCATATATGGTTGGGATAAAAAAAAAGTAAAAAAAAAAAAATTGTGACCCCCTGAGTACAATGCTCAAATTCTACGTGAGGAAACAACAATCCTTCTTGAATGTTATTAGGCAACACTATCAGTATGCTTCAAGCAAGGCATGAGCACATGCCTACTAGTTTTAAGTAAGCCATTAGTTAGACCATCTGTAAGACTGGTAGATGAGAACTAAACCAAAGGAATGATGGCAAATCCCTTTCTTCCTCCTCCTCCAAAAATAAGACTTACCTATCCAAGCTCACAAAGACTTAATACAAACATTTAATATATAATATTGCACAAGAGATATTAAAAAAAAATTAAATCATGGGGTATGAAGGTCAACCAGGTGTCCTTCTCTTTTGAAAGTATAGGCAGAAGAGAGCTTGATGGAAATAAATATAGACACCACCAGTGTGACCAGAATACTTTATCAACTATACTCAAGTGGTTAATAATGTCTAGAAATACCTCTTAATCTTTCACCTACACAAAAGATTCAAGAGTCCACAAACACACACTCCTTACTCTTTGTTATTTCTTGGCCAATAACTCATCATCACGGCTAGGCTTCATGAACGAAGATTTGGGAAGGGCTCTACCTACGTTTGTTACAGGCGTGCTGGTGGCTAAAAAGGCCAATATGAGATAGACATGTCCGACTGCAAAAGGCACAGCAGAAGGACTCCTTGGGTGGTATATTCTGCAAGGCACGATTCTTTCTGCGTCGTCTTTTTTCCTTGAGAGTAATCCTGAGTGCTTTCTCAAAAGAAGCAGCAGCAGCGTTATAGATGGTGTGTCTCCAGGCCTCCCGATTTGAGGCCAGAGTAGACCAGTTATAGTGATCAATATGGCCAAGGCTGAGATGGTGTTTCAGGGAGTCCTTGTATCTTCTCTTTGGGGCTCCTCTCTTGCGGCAGCCGGTGGCAAGTTCACCATAAAGCAAGATCTTAGGGAGGCGGTGGTCCTTCATCCTTGAGACGTGTCCTGCTCAACACAGCTGTGTTCTCAGCAACATGGCCTCAATACTTGTGACTGCTGCTTGTTCTAGAACAGACGTGTTAGTCACATAATCTGACCAGTGGATGTTTAGGAGACAGCGTTGATGGAAGCGTTCTAAGAGTAGCAGGTGGTGGTGGTAGATGACCCATGATTCAAAACCATATAAAAGAGTAGACAGCACTATGGCTCTGTAAACACTGACCTTTGTACTTTTCTTCAGGTGTTTATTTCACCAAACTCTTTTATGAAGCTTTCCGAAGGCACTGTATGCCTTTGCCAACCTGTTGTCTATCTCTCCATCAATCTTACCATCCGAGGAGATGAGGCTACCTAGGTAATTAAATTGCTGGACTGATTTGAGCTCTGATTGGCCAATGGTGATATGGGGATGATGGAAGACTTCCTGAGGTGCTGGTTGATAGAGAACTTCTGTCTTCTTTAAGCTGACTTCCAGCCCGAAGAGCTCAGCAGCATCTGCAAAGCAGGATGTTAAACACTGCAGAGCTGCTTCTGTGTGGGCGACAAGGGCAGCGTCATCAGCATAAAGCAGCTCCCAGACAAGGTGATTTAAGGTCTTAGTGTGGGCCTTCAGTCACCTTAGGTTGAACAGGCTTCCATCAGTACGATATCGAATGTAGATATCGTCCTGATCATCGAGGTCTGCCGTGGCCCTTTGGAGCATCATGCTGAAAAAGATTGTGAATAGGGTTGGTGCAAGAACGCAGCCTTGTTTCACACCACTGGTTATTAGAAAGGGGTCAGAAAGTGCGTTGCCATATCTGACTTGGCTGCACTGATCCTCATGAATTGAGATGGTAATTTTAGGGAACTTATGGGGACATCCTTAACCTTCCAAAATCTGCCATAGACCTTTTCTGCTCACAGTATCAAAAACCTTGGTGAGGTCAACAAAGGTTACATAGAGACCTTTGTTCTGTTCCCTACACTTCTCTTGCAGTTGTCTGAGAACAAATACCATATCTGTGGTACTCCTGTTGGCTTTGAAACCACATTGGCTTTCAGGTAGAATTCCTTCTGCTATAGTGGGTATTAGTCTGTTCAAAAGTATTCTTGCCAGGATTTTGTCAGCAATGGAGAGCAGAGTGATACCATGGTAATTTGAACAGTCTGATTTAGTTCCTTTCTTCCTATACAAAGTGATGATGACTGCATCACGAAGGTCAGATGGTTGCTCACCTAGTTCCCAACAGCGCACCATAAACTCATGAAATTTAGCACGGAGTGCTTGGCCCCCATGCTTCCAGACTTCAGGTGGAATTCCATCAACCCCAGCTGCCTTGCCAATTTTCACCTGCTGTATGGCCTTAAGAGTTTCTCCCAAAGTGGGGGCAATATCCAATTCATTCTTCACCGTTTGTTGTGGGATGGACTGAATTGCTGAGTCTTGCACTACACAGCTAGTACTGAAAAGAGTCTGAAAGTGTTCAGACCATTGATTCAGAATAGAGGTTTTATCTGCCAGAAGCGTTTGACCATCTGCACTGAGTAGAGGGCTTTGGACCTGGTATGTAGGCCCATGTGCTGTTTCCAAGGCCTCATAGAATCCTCTGCGATCACCCGTGTCTGCGCATAATTGAGTTTTTTCAGCAAGATCGACCCACCACTTGTTCTGGATGTCACGGAGTTTCTGTTGGAGTTTGCTGCATGCAAGATGAAAGGCTGCTTTTCTTACATGACAGGATGGCAGTGCAAGGTGTGCTTGGTGGGTGGTTCTCTTCTTCCTCAACAATTCCTGGATCTCTTGATTGTTTTCATCAAACCAGTCCTTGTTCTTCTTGAAGGAGAACCCCAAGGATTCTTCAGAGGACTGCAGGATGCTGTTTTTAATATGGTGCCACAGTGTTTCAGGAGAGGGATCTATAGAATCTATAGAATGATTTTCGAGCCTAGTTTGAAGATTTGCCTGGAATCTGTCTTTCACTGCGGCTGATTGAAGATTGTTAACTTGGAGTCTCCTCCTTGGGATATCACCCCTTTTAGGTTTGAATTTAAGATTGAAGTTAAGTTTACAGCACACCAGTCGATGGTCTGTTTGACATTCTGCACTAGGCATCACGCGGGTATGGTGGACATCGCGAACATCTCTCCGTCACACCAAGACATAATCGATGAGGTGCCAATGCTTAGATCTAGGATGCATCCAGGTTGTCTTCAGACTTTTTCTGCTGAAAGATAGTATTAGTGATGGTGAGCTGTTGCTCCGCACAGAATTCTAGCAGAAGTCGACCATTATCGTTGCAGTTTCCAACACCATGCTTGCCTAATACTCCTTTCCAGGCTTCAAAGTTCTTTCCTACTCTGGCATTGAAATAACCAAGGATAATGATCTTATCATCTGCAGGAACCTTTTGGGTAAGGCGGCATAGGTCAGTGTAAAAGTTATCTTTTTCAGCAGGGTCAATAACTAGCACAAAATAGTAATGTAGAAAAATTATTTGTAAACTCCATCCAGGCAGGGAAATGCTTGCCACTCGAGTATACTTAATTTTAACACTCTTGAATCCACAGTTTCCCAGTCCAAGACTGTGCTTGCCCAAACAGAAGCTGTATAGAAAACACCCATCTGGTTAACCCTGACAGTCACCTGCTTGGGAGCATTAAACTCAGGAATGCATAAAATAATATTTGGAACAGCACATTGGCTGCTGGTGCCTGAACTAGTGGAATTGCTGGGGATAGAGAGCAAAAGTTCATTACTGCCTCTGTAGGAACATTGATGTGGACTTCACAGTACAGTCCAAACCACTCTGTTTGCTTTAGCTTTGACACAGGACAACTTGTAATCCACCTAGCCTTTTTAAGTAAATACCTTTTGCTAACAAGGTATGCTTTGCCATGCTTGATATCCCTACATACACTCCACCCTCAACTCTCAGGCTTTTAAAACTTAGACTTCTTAAGGGCATTTATAGCTAAATGTAAATAATGAGAGGCATATGGCCTATATAGCCTTTCAATTCCATATAAAACTACAGATATACAGGTGAAAAATTACTGTTATAAGAATGGAAACACTGACAAACTTCGTATGCACTTATAATAAGATTCATTCTTAGTGTAAGCAAATATTTTATTTTTTTTTTACCAAGTAATAACAGGTAGATCTTACATTGGTCAGAACTTATAGAATAAGGTATTCAAAATCTCTTTGTCAGCTTTTTTAAGACTCTGTAGCTGTAAGATTTGGACTGTTAACTCAGAGGAAATCATCTTGTCTGGCAGAAATCATCTTGTTGAGTCTGATGTATGTTACTGTGTTCACTCTCTTTAAGGGCAAGCCTTAGGAAAGTAAAACTGGTATACTCTATTTTAACTGAAAGATTGTTTTGCCTAGGTAATAGTATTACTACAGGAACATGAACATTCAAGAACATTTTGTACCATCTGATCTGTTCTTGATGTGAATGCATGAGTCAAAAAATTGCTCCGATTAAGTCCAAATCACTCATAACTTGCTAAATGAGACATTTAGAAGCACAGTAGGGCACAACAGAGGAAAGCTTTGGATGTACTCATGCAACTTTCCAGCTCAACAGCAGTGATGTTACAAATCTTTAAAGCACACCTCACCCAAATCGCCCCAGAACAAGATGTAACAAGTAAAGATTATCTCTCCAGACTAGAGCCCAGCCACTGTTATGACCCAGGTGAGTCTTCTCAATCTTATGCTTACCTTGTGAAGTTCACAGAATGAGATTATATAATTTAAAAACTCTCATGCAACCAGAAATATGGTATGTGCCCAACTAGCAAAAAAACCTTGACCAAACTGAGTATTCAGCTTCATATGCACCTATTCAAGTATAATTAAACTGACAAGAAGCTAACCTACAATTGGGAAAAATATCACTCTTGAATGTCCAATCTAAAACCACTCTGGTGATGGTACAAAGATAAGTGAAATGCAAGAAGTTGACAAACAGTATAAAAAATTTAAAAAGCTTCATATATTAACTTTTGCCCAAGTTTTAAAAAAGTTTTCAAATGCAATCTTGTCTTGGTTTTGTTGTATTAAAATCCACATACAGATATGTACTAAGATTTATTCTTGTATCCTTCAGATAAGAGAGTTGCTTTTGATGAAAAGCTTTCTTTCTTTCCCTGAGCCACAGCTTTCCTGGCATGCTGACAATGTTCACCGAATGCTTTACAACTGCATCCCCAAAGGAAAATTTGCACCAGCAATTGTCACTTCATGGGTTAAATATCTGAAAATCCCCTACTGACTCCTGGCTCCTGACTTTTTGGGAACATAGTCTGTAGCCTCTTCTCAACTTTGTGTCATGCTTCCTTACCATCAAGATATTTGTTCAAAAGCCTCATGAAGGAGAAACAATTCTGTGGATGAAGATGTCCTGAGCCATCAGTGCAGATCTCTCAGCCCGCACCCAGCCCTGGACCTCCATCCGCGACCGACAACTGAATAACGCTGAGGGCGGTTCTAAAAGTGGCAAAGATGCTGGTAAAACATTATTTTTTGCAGTTACAGTCCTGAAGGCTTCTCCCCCCTCCCCTCCTCGGAGAGCCTGTAAGCCAGCCCCGGTTACCCGTGGAGACAAGCGCTGCAACCCCCGGCTGCGACCTCAGCGCTTGGCGTCTCCAACAGCGGCACACGTCGGGCCACCCCGTTGCTCGTCGTTCCGGGCGGTGCCTACGGCCGTCTGCCCAAGCCTCGGAGACGCTGCTGCCTTTTTCCATGCCTTCCCCGGGCAGGAGCACATCCCGCTCCCGGCGGCGCCGCCCGGCCCGGCTGCGGCACAATGGCGCCACCTGGTGCCCGCCTGGCGGGCCGGGAGCGGCCCGGGCGGCGCCGGCTCGGCAAGGGAAGGCGCGTTCCCTCGGGCAGCCGGGGGGTCTTCGCACCTCTTTGTTCTTCTGGAGCAAAATGCGGTTCCCTACCCTGCCCCCGACATTCCTTCTTTCCGTGCCCAACCCCCCGCCTCCCACCAGCCCCACGCGTACCACCGAGGGCAGTCTTGCCCGCAGTCAGGAGTCAGCAGCTCTCCGCTGCGATGGCTCAAAGTACTTTGCAATACAAACCTGGGAGACTGGGACTCCCTGCTCACCCAGAGGTGCTGACCATCCTTCACTCTTGACCCTCCCAAAAATCTATGCATCCTCTCCAATAGCATGGTTTTAACAATGCAGCTGAAAAGAGGTGGTTGATTCAACATTAGCAGGCTAGCTAAGCGTGTTTCATTTCAGAAAGCCCTGCTATCTCCCCCTACCATTTCCCACTGGTGGAAGGAATTAATTTAAAAAAAACCCACTATTTTGCTGACAATCTATATTAATAAAAGATTGTCTTTACTTTTATGCTGCTGTGTTATGCTAATTGTATGTGCCACATCAAAATCAAGCCTGATTATTAGCAAGAGATTTTCACTTCAGCTACAGTTTTGACTGATTTTTATTCCATTTAGGTATTCGTAGCCAGTGTGCCCTGCATGCTGAGGACTGTAACTTGTGCACTCAGCTTTTGTCCATTAATCACTGTGTTCATTCAGAGTTCTGCTGAAATAAATGCAAGTGGTGAACCACCTTTGCTGGATATATCTTGCATTATCTGCTCCTAGTCATTTATGAAGAAATTATACAAAGTATAAGTAGATACAAAATGAGAACTTAACAGTTCAAAACTGCTTTTAGAAACTCATTCTTTCTTAATTTTAATGCTTAAGTTTCCTCTTCTTTAATTTTTTTCTCACATTCTGAGCTCTCTGGTTCAGTCACAAGCTACCTAAAAACTAGGGAAATGACTGCCTCTCACACAGCACTCAGAGACGGGACTCCAGTCTTGCTTTTGACCTCTCAAAGCTCCTAGTTGTGAGTACCAGAGAATTTTCAGGCTTCTTTATACAGCTCAACTCCTTGATGTAGCATCATGAAGGGCTGAACTTGTAATAACAAAGCTGAGGCTGTACATTAATAAAATGCTTTGTAAACCACAGGCATACAGTCTGTCAGTGTAGCACCTGTATTTACTTAATAGGTCTGACAATCCTGTAATTAAAATACTAATTCTAATGAAAGGAATCCAGGCACTATCATTTCTGCCTGGTGGCATCTCATGGCAGTGTGGCAAATGATGACCTGAGTACAACAAAAAAGCAAACTCAAGTTCTGTGTACGTTCAAAACCCAACAAGTTTTAGTCTATGCTGGAAAACTGCCAGCAGTAATAAAAATAACAAAAGAAGAATTGCTAGTAACAAGTCCTATGGTAGGCAATCATAAAAAGGAAACAAGCCTATGCTCCTGTCCAAAAATAATTAAGAGTTACATATTCTAGTTCATAAACTATTAAAACGATAATATATTGCATTTTAATCTTCTAGGCACGCTGAATACCTGCAAGTGATAATTACCTGATTTCTGAATCCTTAGTGGAATAAACTTTTGAAAGAGAAAAGGAAATACAATATATCTCTAACTCAACATTCTAGTCTTATACTAGAATGCTCTCTGGACAAAGAAAGGAGGGAAAAAAACAAAAAGAAAAAGCATTTAAAACAAAAATTTGGTCCTAATAAGTCAGTACAGTAATTCTTCTTAAATCTAACATTAATTGTCTGTTTGAGTCTGTGGACCTGAGCAATGCTCTGATGTTTTACAGAAAGGAACAAAGTTGCATCCAATTATAGGATCAGACTCTGCAGGACTGTAACTGATGTTGACAATTCCCCAGGACTTCAATTCTATTTGAGAAAAGATTGGCTGGACCTGGAACACAAGGAATCAGTCATGGGCAAAGCTAAATTTCATGCTTCTGTTGCTGGCGAGACTAAAACAAGCAACAACTGTTACTCTAATAAGGAAGGTACAATAAATGCTATTGTATACAGTTTCTTTATCAAAACTTAAATGTAGTCCTTAAAATTTTGGTAAGTTGCCAGTGCAATCCTTCACACAGAGGTTACCTACCAAGAAATTAGGACTGAGTTTTTATCTACTGTGACTTACTACATGTTGTTCGTTCTGTAGTACCTGAACTGGATGTAGACTTTAAGATTTGAGGGAGAGCTGAAGAAAAGTGAAAAGAATAAAATCATACAGTAGAAAAACAACTTCAGAAAGCAGGTTAATACTGGTTAGACTGTAGTTAAATACCAACCAAACTAATAAAAAAAATCATGGTATGCAGATCACTAATTCTGTATTGTTTCCCTCCAGAGACCACTTCTATGCAAACTTCACAGCACCAAGTAAGGGAATAAAAATGGCTTGCATGCATTTTACAATTGTTATTAACACGGCTAAATTCAATTTTCTTGAAAGAGTCCTGCAACGTTTTTTTTAAGCATCATTAATAGCCTTACAGTTCCTCTCCAAAAACTCAACTCCCAAAACCACAACGCAACATCCTACATTTCCAGGCTAGCAAAAGTCCTAATTGCACTTCAAACTATACTGTTAATGCTAGGTTTTGTGGAGAAGAAAAATACAACATCAGTTTTTCCATGGAGGCACATATGATAATTTCATGGGGAAAGAAAAGAGATAGATTTAATCTGTTCATATGTAAGGAACGTAAGGAAGAGTTCTTCCTCCTGAGCAAAAAGCCAGGCAAAGTTAAGGTATACACAGTAAATACTGCTTAAAGAAAAAGAGCATTGTTGTTTTAACAAGAGCCGTAATCAAAAGCTACACCTAAGATGTTAAGAACACACTACAGGATGATCACTGTGTTCCTGCTAGGTGTTTATCCTTTTTCCTATTCTCTTCTACTTAGAGCAGTTCCCTAAAAAGGCTGAGCACTTACCTGAAAAAAAGCCTCTCCTAGCTAGGTAAGAAAATTAATGCCCTATACTAGCAGATTAACACCACTCTATGAAGAGCAGGATTTATTCTGTCACACAGCATTTCCCTCTGTCACAAATACAGCAGTATTTACCACGAAGTATGGGAAACCAGGAGAGGGTGTTCTGGTTGATCCAGGACAGAGGAACTGTAGTGCCCTAGTTCTGGAGAGGTAGACACTTGAAAAATTGCCATATAGCTTCATAATTATAAATACAGTTTACATTAAAAAGAAAAATAACATGTAGAAAAACTTTCCCAGAACTGTTTTTATATTTGAAAGCTTTGGTTATGATACCTCTAGTCAGGGCTTTTTTTTTATCCCTATCCTTTTGAATACAGCATCAGCTACATTTTTCTTCTTCCAGTCTATCACAATAGTACAAAGGCTTCCTTAGTAGAATGTAGAAAAAGAAGTGAGTCACAGCTTCCCTAGCCACAAGAGAGGAGCTTGCACTCTACCTGAGTTCCCATGAGAAAAAAAATCCTGTATTTTTTTCACTCTACATAATTTATGTTTATAGTAGCATCTACAGAAGACAAATATTTATGTCCTGCTATTTCTCAGGAGAGACCACCCCCCCCAAAAAACCACTTAGATCACTACCTTGACACTCTGAGCAGATGCAGTGCTTTTTTTTACCTCAGACAGGTGGATTACTAACAGCACCTGCTTCGCCCAAAGGACCTGAGGTACTTTAATCACTTCAGTGATGTCAGTCAGACACCTCATAGACTCATAAGCATGGGCAGACTTAACTCAGCAGAAATAATTCCATCCTGATTATTTGTCCCAGCCTTGGGGAAAGTACTACTGAGTCACAAAGAAGCATCTTTTGGCCTAATAGTTTGTAACACTGCATATTAAATGCTGCTTGACCTTAGTATGGCAGATTGTAAGCCATAGCTCTTGGAGCCTGGCTTTACACAAAGTTCAGCTTTTCCTGCCAGAGGGCTGCAACCGCTAGAAAAGGGCAAAGAGCAGAATTAAGCTGGTTTTCCATTTCAGTTCCATTTGTTTTTTTGAGTTTGTACACCTGTATTGGATGGTAAACAGAAGAGTGCATTATGAATTCTGTAACAGCAGTAGAGCTCATAATAAAAGTGTCACTGCCTTGAAAGTTCTTTAAAGTTGAAGCACTTTAAACCATTAGCGTATTTATATGGGCATATTACAGTAATTAAAATAGCAACTCATTTTTCATCCCAATCAAAATACATACCAAACGTTTTATGGATTTATTCTAATGTACGCTACCCATTTAGTATAGAGGGATCAAAACAGTATATTAGGTACATAAACTACCTTGATTTACTACTTGTCTTCTAAGTGGTAATATGAAAAAAACCATCTTAAATAGCTAACTTAATCTGCTTGATGAGAAAAAAAGAGACAGGTGACAGAAACCTACTTAGTTCGTTGAGACGACATGGTTACTTATTTTAAAGGGTAAGGAAAAGGTTTGTTAGAGAGGTTAGAGGTGCTTGTTTATTGTAGCGTGGGAGTGGGTTGATTTGTTTCTCTGTAATTTTTCTCTTTTGCTAAAAATCAAAAGCCTGATTCTGAAGTTCTGCAGCTGAGGGGTTTTGATATGTATACTCCTCTTAGTAAAAGATGTAGTTTGTCTACTTCTACTAGAAAGGTGTAGTTAGTTCAGAGGGCAGAGGAAAACATACTGTGACTGCGTTTAAGAATATGTTAGTCTGTAAGTCTTATACAGAAAAAAATAAGACAGTAATGCTTGCAGCTAATGTATTATTGGCAGTCTTCCATGCT